ATTTCACCCAAAAAAAAACCCGGGGGGGGAAAAAAAAAATTTGGGGGGAACCCAAAAATTTTGGGGTTTTCGGGGCCCCCCCGGGTTTTTTCCCCCCCCCCCCCCCCCACCTGGTTCGGGGGAGACCCCGGGGGGTTCCTTCCGGGTTTTGTGGGGAGGGGGGGTAAAGGCCCAAAGGATTCGGGCATGCAGGATTTGGGGCCCCCCCCCCCCCCCCCCCCCCCCCGTTGGTGCTGATGTTGCTGTTATGGTCTGGACGAGTTTCAAGGTTCACACGGGAGGGCTTGGAGTCCACCATCCAAAGTTTGGGCTTCTTTTTCTCAAGGACGATTCCCTGGTGGTATACGTGGGCACGGGAAACTTGGGCGTGGACACCGCTATAGACGCCACCTGGTGAGGCGATGCTTGTGCTGGTGACGCAGGTGCATACAGTATCTCTGTTTAAGGCCGCCATGTGCCACGGCAAAACACCCACCTTAAACAGGGCACCCGGCCTTATTCAGAGTACGGGACCACTTTAGTATTTCCTCTGTGTCATGCGATTTCACCGGCCTTAAATAGGACAACCGGCCTTTGTTAAACGGCCATAGACAGGGACCCCTAGTGTACATACATGTGTGTGTTTTGGTAGCGGCTCGGGGGATTTAGATTGCGTTGTAGGAGACCGTCACCTGATATACAGCGGCAGTCGTGTTGTCTTTGGGGCGAGTGGTCGAGGCGGCACGTCGAGACTTTGCTGTTAGTGCTGGGTGTGCTCTTTGTTGCACGCACGGGGGATTGACCAGGAAGCAAAGAAACGACGGGTTGCTGCGTAGACACGAGAACAGCACCACAAGCAAACAAAACCGGAAAACGAAAATCGAAAACCGCGATCGCAGGGTGCAAAGGTTCGGCCAAAGCAACAAGGGAGAGGCAGCCTGCACAAGAGACCTCGACAACGGGGGCACGTCAGAATGGAAAGGCGACTTTGGTGTGTAAGTAACTGACCGCAGCGAGCCTTCTAACGTTATTTATAATTTCTACCGGTAGAAGCAGCGACTTTCAGTGGACTAGCCACCCCGGCAGATCGCGGCACCAGTGGCTGACCCATTCCGTTTCATGTGCGTGTGTCATTCGTCGTCGTGGATATTATGTGCGTCAACAGCAGCAGCGAACAGACGTTCCCAGATGGAAGTGGATTTGTCATTATTACATAACAACAAACGGCCACAACAACAGATGATGTATGTTAAATGGGAGCAGTGTATCATCATCACCACCATCATCATCACTGTTACCAAGAACACCACCATCGACAACCGACCGCAACAACCAGAGCCTACAACCACATGCCAGGAAACAGAACAAGGCAACGGGCGGTTCAACGAATGGCCTCGACGCAGACCGATCGGTGGCAGCAGCATCATGGCTCCTTGCATTTCGGCGATCACTGTAGACCTACCGAGGTTACTCTCTTCAACTTTCCGAGGAACAACTATACGCCCCCCCCCCGCGCCCCCCCCGGTGTTTGCCATCGGGATTGGGTTTTCGTCGCTTGGCAACGACGTTGTAAAACAAGCCGCCCCCCCCGGTGTTTGCCATCGGGGTTGGGGTTTCGGCGCTTGGCAGCGATGTTGTAAAACAAGCCGATCACGTCGTGAGCTCGGCAACCAAGTTACCGTTCTTTTTTTTTTGCCTTTTTTTTTGTTGCGGTAACCATGAATCGCGGTCGAGTAGATTATGTTGTGCGGGGTCGAGAACCCTCACTCCGCGCAAAGGGGATAATCGCACGTTGTGTTAAATTGGTCAAACACCCTCTGGGCAGTTACACAGTGCTTACTATTGTCTCTGAAAGTGGAAGCACCAGAAAAAAAATTAAGTCATACGCAGCTGTCATCCCTACGCAAGGAAGTAAGCACAAGATGCCGAACACCCTTAGCCGGATGCAGCGCACCCTTCATGCTACTCGCCGAATACCACACGGCGCTTCGCGCTTGGTGATGTGATCGCCTGGTTCGGTGAGAACCGGGCGTGCCCCGTCCCGACTTTGTAGGGATGCGAGGTCAACCGTCTGACGACTACGGCATGCACGACTATGAGTCCACCCTGGGGTACTGTTTCTTGATTCGCATGCGTTTCTGCGATGGCCACGATGCGTTCTCCCTGTATCAGCGAATGAGAACAGTGGAATACGTGAGTGCTTCCTTATCGTGCACGAGGCTCACTGCTGAAAACAAATGTGGTTTCGGGTACACACGGCGCAAAGCCTCGTGTGGGTAGACGTTTGCTGGTTGGAAGTTGTCAGTGCGCTACTTTTGGGGGCAGAGATGAAGTGCTTGTCGATGACCGTGATACATCGGCCAATCGTCAAACACACTCAATGAGTCTATCTACATTACAACCAAATCCGCTTCGTCCCCCCTCACTCTAATCTCTCTTGCAATGTGTGCCTGTCACGTACCATCAACCAATCACATCGTCACATTGTCAGCACCTTGCAAGCCTTCCTGGCAGGGTACTCGCGGCTGATGCGACAAGACCCCAATAAGAAGGTCGGGACTGCGACCTCCCGGAGGAGACTGCGAAAGTGAGAGAGAGAGAGAGACCTGTCAGTGTGTTGGGGTTATACCTCCAAGGGAAGCCAAAGAAGCGGGGGAAGGGGGTGGGGGCTGTGGCGGGTGTGCTGTGTACCAATGAAGATCAAGGTGGCCGAGCAGAGTGCATGCGACACAATCGCTGATGCAACGAAGGGGGGGGGGGGGGGGGGAGTCAAGAACGGTGAAATGATTGAGATGTTTGTTGTTGTTATTGTTTGGGAGGAGGTAGATCGCTATTAGGTGTTTTCAGGACGGGGTACGGAATAGAAAGTTGGTGTGTGCTCGGAGTCGACTGCAAGTGCTGGGTACTGCCACGCCTACCGACCTGCACACGATACCTTTTGTAGCTCTGTGTGCGATGCCTGTTTTTGGCACTGGTGTTTGTGTCTGCGTGCTGTCGCACGTACGCTCCTATCGCACGTGGGATAGCGGGAGGGGTGGTGTCATGATGGCCTTGTCTCGCCGACTGGAGCCATGATACCCCACAGTCCTACAATTGACAAACCTAACATAGCTATGATCCATTTGCACGCTCGATGGCTATCGCGGAGTACTTCGAAGCTGTTTCTCGTGCGAGAGGGTGGGCAAAACGGTGCCGCAGCACGTCTCGGTTACATTTGTTTGGATGAGGCTCAAGGTATTGCTGAACGTCTCGCACCGATGTGCGCTTCGTGATGTCTCTGCCTGAAGAACCTGTGGCAACCCATGTGTTGCGTTTCTAGGGTATACGCAAGTGATTTGGCGGCGTATATTTACAACCAGTCATGTACGTCGGCGTCGGTGGCGCTCTCCCATCCCCGACGCCCGGCTGTGTGCGCTCTCAAAAACGCGTCGACTTATCCGCCAAGGCTGATTTCCGGCGTTGCCCGGCGAAATTCGCGGAGGCGGCCTGGACGGCTTCTTTGCGCACCTCCAAGCGATCGGCATGGATGACCACCGTTGCCCCGGGAACGCGCGGCTCTAGAAGCCCCCGACGGCTGCATCCCGCAATGTTGACGAAAGTTGAACTTCGCTTCGTTTTGCGTAGAGCGCAATGCCTTGACTATCAACTGACCCACCTCAAACATATACAGTCCATATTTCAGAGTGTCGTCCCAGACATGTGTCTACTTCCCTGACCACTGGACCCGCCCTCCCCGCTCGTTTGCTTGGCTCTGTGCGGATGTGCTTTCTGGCTGCGCTCTTTCTGGGCGACATGTTCATGTCACCCCCACCCGTCCCCCCGCACGCCCTCCACCCCGGCCCCTTTGTTTCCGGAAAACAAATGCCCCCCTCAGCACGCCCATGGAGTTCATGCTTCGAGAGCTGGGCATCGAGCGACTCGGAGACAGCTTCGACTTTAGAACGGCGGCGGTCGACCTAGTTCCTACGGTTCCGACTCCTATGGGCGCCACACTGTGAGTACTCTTTGCGTCGCGAGGTCACCCCATTGAAATGTTTGGGTTTTACCCGTACCAACCACTTGTGTGTTGCATGGGAGATGTATTTGTTTGTCTTGGGAGAAAGCCTCAGCCAGCAGCGGGGCTCACCGGGTTTCTCGGTTGCGTTGGTATAGGCAGGTTGCGGTAACCTCGGCTTGAACACGGAAGAGTTGGAATGAGGTCTGCGAGTGTAGACTCAGGTATTCTGTAACTCGGCTACGCTCTCGGCCCCTGTTATAGGTGGGCTTGGGAGTTTTTTTTTGGTAGGGAGCGCTGCCTGCCGACCTCCGCATATGCATATTTCAGGAAGAAAACTCATGAGGACACACTTTTTCAAAAGGCGTAGTACACATGTAGACACGGGAGGGTGTCGAATGCCCGTGTGTTGGGCGCTTTCGGCACCGATGCGTTTCGCGTTCGATTCTTCAGTCGACCAGCTTGCTCTTTGTTGTGATGCCCGTGTCTCCTGCCTGCATCCGCCTTTGTCGGCGCCCATCCAACTCTTCCCTTGACATTCAGTGCGCGGGTCCGTCCCTGGGAGCGGCCGCCGCTGCAGCAGCAGAGGCAACAGCAGCAGCAGCAACAACAGCAGCAAAGCCAAAATAAGGAGGTTCACCGCTTGTCGCCGCCGCCGCCGTCGGCGCCGGCGCTCGCGGTCGCTGCCGGCGCTACCGCTAGTGGCGGTTGTGGCGGCGATGTCAACAGGTCGGTGTCCTTGCAGCCCAACAGCAATGAAAGCACCTGCTGGGACGGGGGTCGTGGCGGCGGCAACACACCAGTGGAGTCTTCATCGCGCTCCTGTTGGCAGGACCCATGCCTGGCGTCTCCTTCAATGTCGCCGCTGCCGCTGTTGCCGGTGTCAACGCACCAGGAGAACGGGGCAACACGAAGAGGAGGAGGGGGCCGGCTCAGTGCTGCCACGGGCTCCGGAGACGGCGAGGACCCGGATGATGATCTCGACGGTCAACGTGCCGCTGATAGCGCCGCTACGAGTAGCCGTGCAGACGATTTCGACGCCCCTGACGGTGGCCCCGCGAGAGGGGCCCCCGATACGGAAGGAGGCGACGCGATCGAGTGCGGCGGGGCAGGAGGGACCGATCTTCGCTACTACGGCGGCCAGCTAAGGATGAAGTACTTGCTCAGCAAGCGGAGAGGCCAGGTCGAGGAGGCCGGACCGGAGGACCTGCTTATCCTCCAGCCCACAAGCATCGGTGCCGGCATCGACGCAGGGTTCCTTGAGGTAGGTGCTACTGCTCCACTGGCGTAGCGCGTTGCCGCCTGTCTCGTGTTCTTGCATGTGTGTGTGTGTGTGTTCGTGTCTTTATTACTTGCATTGACCGCGCTAAGCGACTGACCAATGGATAGACGTCAGTCTCAGTGCAACTGAAAGCAGACAGTGCTTCTAAAGGCCATGATCTGGGACCCCGTGAGGGGGCGTCATGGGGGAAGCGAAGCTTCTCTCCGGATTTGAAGACGTGAATGGTAGCAAACCAAGAGAGCTGCACGTGTCTACTAAGGCTCCTACGTTGCAATCGCGTTTGGCTGGACCCCTGTGCATATTGTTGAGCGCGTGTGTTCTTGGCGTCATTCGAGAGGCGGGTGGGTGTAAAGGGAGGGGTACTGGAAGTTGTTTGGACACAGTTCTGTCGTGGTGTTTGGCCTGCGTGTCTGTCTTCCTGGAGCGGCTGGGGCGGCATCGTCTTATGTAAAGTGTTTTCTTCTTCGGTGAAGCGGGATTCGGGAGATGTCGCGCGCAAGAGTTGCACAGAAATTCCTCGGCACCACGATCCTGGTCCAAAGAACCATCCACATCTTGTGCAAGCCTTGCAAATCTTGTCTCTTGAACTGGTACACTAGTTCACACCTAGCGGAGTCTTCGAGTGATCCGCAGACGACTGAGTCAATGCTGAGTATACGAATGCTGTTGTCGGAGACTATGTATGACTGGTTTGGATTCTGTACCACGGCATTAGAGTGCGTAAATGACCAGAAGACGAGCTCAAAGAAGGAGTTTGTGCCGCGAGAGACTTGGTGTGGGATGCTCATGGTGTGCTAGTACTTCAGTTATTCCCGCCCCGCACGCTCAATCCGTACTGTTTGTTCCTTCCGCTACCAGCATTTGGTCTTTTTTATACGTTGGTGGTATTTTTTACTGGCCTTGTGCAAGGAAACGTCCTTTCGGCTTCGACACTCGTCCCCCCCCCTCTCTCTCGCGTGCGCTACATCTCAACTCAGATTTTTGCCAAGAATTTAATGCCGGATTCCGCGGGGCCGCTTCGGGGAGCCTGGAAAGAGAGCCGCCTCGACTCCGTTCGTATTGTGTGGCCATCCATGCAATACATGGGCGCCTGTCGCAAGGAAATGTGAGTGGGAGCCCATCCCCAACAACTTGCTTTGGTGTTCTTCCCCAAGTTGAGCTGACGTAGAAAAGTTGGCCGGAACCAAGGCTTGAGACAAGGAATTCATGCGCCCTAGCTTTCCCGCTTTCAGAGGAAATATCTTGCCTTGCCGGGTATCTCGTGAGCGATACACGGCGCAGGCGGTTGATGTCTACGGTGGGGAAGGTGATACTCCCGAAAGCCCTGCGCAGGGTGATCTCTTCCGGGAGACCAAGCTCTTGCCATTTTCTTTCAAGAGGACAGAGGCGGGTGTGTCGTACGGCACAAGTGTACAACAGCAGCGACGTGTGTGCATATATTGGGCGAGGAGCCCACATAAGAACATCTGTGGCGCGAATCCTCCCCGGTCTCTCTTGCTTCTGCCATGGGTGTGTTATTTCTGCTGGTGCCTGTAGACGCCGATCGCCCCGGCGATGGTTCAGTCGGCAAAATCCTCTTGACTATCTAGATTGTGGGCTCGAACATCACTGGAGTGGAAACTTCGCAGCTTAAGGTTGGAAGGCTGAACGATCCCATGTTGGAGGCAAGCAGTGCATGGGGGAAGATTGGGCTTACCTTCCGGTGCGACCCCGGCTGGTGCATCAAATATGTACCGGAAGGCGTGGCCTGACGTCGGGATAGATGGGGGACGAACACACACGAAAATTTCCCGCGCGCGAACGCAGGAGCAAGTCGACCTTGTTGCGGGACCGGCAGGCGTCCACGATCATGGAGGTGGACCACAAGTACGTCATGGGAGAGGACGGGAAGACCCCGGACTGGGACAAGTGAGCTACCAAGAGACACATATTTCACCACAATAAAGGTTTCCCCTCCCCACGCAAGACACGCGTCTTTGAGCCCGCCAACGAGTTCCGCGCTATGCAAGCTCCGAAGAATACTAACAGTAACGGGGTGCTATTATGTTCAAACGTTTGAACCCAAGGAAGAACTTACCAACTCTTTTGACCAAAGCATGCCACACCTGCCGTGCAGCACTGTTTCTTGCGAATCTTCTGTCAATCTAAGCGAGCGAAACGTGAACTACGGGTGTATAAACTTCAGCGAGTGCAGTGTTGTGGGAATGCTTGTTTCGAGTGCAAGGTTTGTTTTTTCCCGCGAGCTGTGACTGTCGTAGTGCAACGGTCTGACACTTCTGTGAAAATAGTAGCCAAAGGTGCGCAGGATCTCGGCAGCCTCTTGGTGTCCCACAGACGACACGAAGTAGGATCCAATGAAGGCAGTTTGTGTGCTATTCTTTTGTTTTTTCGTACCAATGGATTTGGCCCAACATTTAGTTGTGGCAATTTTCTCGGACAATGCTGGTGACGTGGAAGCCGTACAGGCTCTCACTTGATCGTAGGCTCAAGACCGAAATCATTGACCTTTTGCGAGAGTAAATCTCGCAGTGGTTTGAACACTGCTAGTCACAGCCGTAAAGTATCTAGAGTGAGATATCCCATACGGTGATTCTCGAACGATAGCAATTGAGGAGCCTCAGACTTAGGACCTTGACATTCTTCATTCGTTTACATTTTTTGACTCTTCAAGGTCGAGGGCTCTTTCTTTTGGCATGAGAGGTATCTTGGTGGTGGACACACCAAGTTCGACCTTTACTTCACTCCCAGGACCCTCGCTTCTTGCCCACAAAGACCTCACGTGTCCTACTCTAGACCCTTTTCCCTTCAACTCTCTTCTGTCTTGTCTCCCTTGCCGGCTGCCTTACCTGTCTGTCCGTCTTTCGGTCTGTGTCCGCGCCCGCCCGCCCACCCATCCACCCATCTGACGGCTCACGATTTAACTCTACCTGGTCGACAGCAACGGGTTCGTGTTCATGTCGCCGGATCAATTCGACGGCATGGGCCTAGACTTGCACTGCTGCCTACAGACATTTCAGCTCCACCCGGCAACCGCTCTTGCGCTCCCCCTTCGCCCCGCCCACGTGAAGAGCGTCATGCGCCTGAGGAAGGCCCCGTTCTCTCTACGGCCGCAGCCGCCGTCGCCACAGAAGCAAGCCATTTTCACGCCCAACAAGAATACCAACACTTGTGACCGAGGCGGAATTGGAAACAGCACCATGAGCCACAGTTCTGCCGAGGGTGCTGTTGCTGATGCTGCTGCTGCTGCGGCGGCGGGGGGTTCCGCGGCGGCGGGTAGGACCGCGGATGTGCGCGGGGATACGGGGTGTGACGGCGCACGCCCCGTCGTGTGCACAAACGTTCAGCACTTTTCGTGGTTCCTGTTGACCAGCGCCTGCCTCTCCAAGGCGAGTAGACTGCGCACGCCGTGTGTGTCGCTGCTGTGTGTTTCGGGGTCGTGGGCGAGGGTGCTACCACCTTTTTCGCCATGCCTGAGAACGTCCGTTCAGTTGCGAAACCAGGGGACTATGCGGACAGCATCCCGCGCAGCACCATCGCCTGTACTCCGTCTCTCTCCATGTAGGCAACTTGGTTCGTCTGTCTTTTCTTACCCTTGTAAACCGATGAACGATGACGCATCTGGTCGTCACGTACACAGGGGGCCCAGGGCGAGGTGGTCGCGCACGGCGACCGAACAGGCACCGGCACCGCCGCCCCGGGCGCAATATTCAAGAACGTCGAGCTCGGAGTGCTCTTCCACTCTTCCCCGGAGCGGGCCTACTACACGGCACCACTCCCGGACTGCGCGTGCCCCTCGTGTGGCTGCTCACCCGGCAGCGGTGGGCCTCCGCACTGCACCCGCACCGATACCCGTGAACTTCCGCCGCCGCCGCCGCCGCCGTCAATGGTATCACCACGGTCGATCCCCCTGCCCGTACCTTTTTGCCTGCACAGCGAGGCGTACACGGACCCGTTGACGGAGTCTCCGAATGTTCGCTTCGCGCCCTACATGCACACCCTCAAGAGCGAGCGACCGTGGTAAGTTTTTTTTCTTGTGTACATTCAATCACAGACAACTACACCCATTCGAGACAATGCCACAGTCGACGAGGATGTGCTGAACTCTTTGTAGTGAGTGGGAGAAAAGCCTTTTTGTCTCCTCGAGTCTCTGCAGGAGCGAACGCGCCATCAGTTCCGTGGTCATCATGTTTCGTAAGCTGTTGGAACATGCAATTCTCGTGCGTAGATTCCGCCGGTTCTTTGGGCGAGACATGGCTCATTCGCGAACTTGGAAAAGGGAGCATTGCGGCGGGGCGATGACGGGGCTGGTGTGATCTTATTTGGTACGTGGTATTGATTTTCGTCTGAAGCACACGTGTTTCGATACTACGGACGCAATCACGCTTGACATGGAATGAAACATGCTGCCCGACAGTATTTTCTGGACGGCGACCCTCTGAACCGCCCGTCCCGCACCTTGCTTGTGAATGAACCGTGTTGTTTGCATTTTCGGGAATCGCTCATGACAGGTCTGTAGAAGTGCAGAGGCTCCTAAATTCGAATGTCAGAGAGGCACAGTTCGCCTAGAACCGTCGAGTTGGCTACATTGGGGCGCAGGAGCAGCGGCAACAATGGTGTTCGCCCGAGGGGTGTCAGTAGTTCCCGGGTGAAACGGAGGGAATTTGAGTCAGCTCGTCGGCTCTGCAGCCACTTTGACGGTGTGATCGCGCTTCGAACATTGTTTCATGGGCGTCAGGACGAAACCAGAAAACTCCATGACGGGGTTCGAGACCGCGGGGGGGCGGGTGGCCGGGAACGGACGTGTATATGGATCTTCTCGTCGAGTCTTGTTGCGCTATGCGAAACGGTGTGTCCGTCATTGTGGTGTGGTGAAGGGATGCACCAGAGTTAGATTTCTATTGTAACTGTCCGGTAGGGGAATGCATGACGCCGTGACAGCAGCAGTTGACAGAGCAGCAGAACACGCAACTTGTTGACAACAGCTGCTGTCGGTCTTGCGTGCTCCAGAGCCACAGAGACACCGGCGAAACTCGTGTGGTACGTGGGCATCATGCCGACTTGTCTTGTTTGTAATGGTGTGCCGCGTTGATTTGGTGTGAAATGACGACGTGCTCGTGCTGAAAATTCTTTCTCAGCTGGAAGTGACGCTTTTCAAGGGAGTAAAGGAACGGGTAGATCCTTCTCGCGAAAACCTTAAGGCAACACCGCAGAAGGAAGGCTGACCAACTCCCGTGGCCTTCTTTCTATTTGTCCCCTTGGCTGGTGCGTCGAGAATAACTGTAAATGACATCAATATATGAGATGACACTACAACAAACAAAAATGATTCGAAACCGAATTCTTTGAGTTCCTGGGGCTCGCAGCTGTCGCGAAAGCCTTCTTTCGCCCCGTAGTGACAAGTGGTTGCCGAGATATGGCCCAAAATGATGTCAGAACACCAGCTCGGCGGTGTCGTAAAATATATGTGCATGCGGCACCGCGCGAAACCGTCCGAAATCACCTCCAATGGGCGCCAAACCAATTTCGTTGTGTTCCCGCGGCCCCCAGCTGTCGTGTAAGCCGTCATTTGGCCGAAACCAACATGTGGTTCCCGATACCCGATACATGCCCCAATATGATGTCAAGACGCAACCTCAGCGGTGTCGTAATTTGGCGGTGTCGTAAATCGGTATGGACAATTTGCGCAACTTGACCTATTATTTCAAGACACAGCGTGAAGCATTTACTTTCCGAAAAGCCTTCACTGGGCAAGACACTATATGCGCGGTGTTCCCACAACCCCCATCTGTCGCGAAAGTCATCATTAGACCGATAACTGACACATGGTTGTCGATATACATGTGGGCCAAGGGTGTGACTACAAGTTGCCTTTCGTACGAAGGCATATCGAGGGCATACTGCAGAATCCACCCAGAAGACCATCTCCATCTCTGCATACAAAGGAATGGAACCCCTAAGCACGTTGGTCAGCATCTTGGTCAGCACTTTGGCCAGCGCACAGCACCCAGAGGTCAATACGTGTTGCGGAATGACCCCGACTACGGAGATGCGAGCGTGAACTCACTCAGGTGGCGGAAGGAGTTGGGGGCGCAAGCGTTGACTGTTCCGTGCAACTTCGTCCGCGCCCACCTCTCCACCCACCTCTCCACCTGCTGCGTACCAAAGATATGTCGGCAAAGAACAGCACAGCAGCAGCGGTAGCGAAAATGGCGAGGCGCATGTCTACGAAGAACTCGAACCCTCACTACTATGCCCTTGGCTGAACGAGGGCCCAACGACAGGCTGCCCTCGAAACCGCGAGGGGGTACGCATGCCATCGCCGATAACCACCCCGGTCCGATGAGGTGCAAGGAACGGATATCCAAGCTTCCTGATCCCTTTGTTTTTGATGGCTGCCCTTGACCTCCACCAACTCAGGCGTGTTTCCCGAGGCCACGATCAAGGGTCACAGCAGCATGAAATGTGAAATTGTTTGACGCCTTCGTTTTTGAGATCTACGTAGACTCAATTGTCTACCGGGGTGAGGGAAACGCGCAACCACCAATGTCCACAAGCAGAAGGCATGTACGAGGGTGGAGGGTGGAAGGCCAACACCCGTTCACTGAACGCGCCGGAGGTTGTGAGCGACCGAAACGCCGCCGCGGACCACCGTCAGCAAGAGTGTGCGGGTCGGAAACTGCTTCGGACGGTGCATAGGTTTCGGAGAAAGGCATTTGTGCTTGAGCGCAAGAGGTGGGTTGACTACGTTATTCTCGTTGCCTGTCACGAGTTGGTGCAGATGTAGGGTATTTCTTTGAATATCGCCGAATCTACTGTGAATGGCATGGACAAATGTAGTGAAATTTGTCAGACCCGTTTCCATGAAGCCCTAATTGTTCACTGATCGGTATCATTTCCCCTTGGATCGGCATATCGGTTTCGCGGAATTTTCACATCCGATTCGCCATCCACGACATGATTTCTAGCTATTGTCTAAATATCGATGTAGCTAGCTGCTGCCCTTCTCTACCGCGTGACCCTACACAGGTGGAGGTCGACCCCCCTTCCCCCATATGTCGGATTCCCTCGCCCCCTTGTGGAGACCTTGACGAGGTCTCCACGGCGTCGCGCGGC